TTCATAATACAGGCAGATGCAAGTGATGTGGCAGTGGGGGCTGTGCTATTACAAGAAAATGATGATGCAGTATTGCAACCCTGTGCATATACATCTAAGAAACTCACGGAAACAGAACAGCGCTGGCCCGTATGGGAGAAGGAGGCTTATGGGATACGTTGGGCATTACTCACGTGGCGACAGTTCCTGGAAGGCAACAAAATCCCCTTCCAGGTATGGACTGATCACAAAAATTTAGAAGCCCTGAAAACTTCCAGGAAACTCAATCCCAAACAAGCCCGCTGGTCCCAGCATTTTCACCAATTCCAATTTAAGCTCAAACATTTACCAGGAAGAAAGAACTTCCTGGCAGATGCACTATCTCGCATGCCCCAATATAACAGCGCACGAACCACAGACTCTAGACCAATAATGGCAGAATCACAACTGGCAGCGCCAGTAACCACAAGAACCCAAGCCAAAATAAAACCACAACTGGACAGCCAAACTGGGATTGAATTCAGAAAAAGTTTGGAAACAGATGATTGGTTCCAGAAAAACAAACATGTGTGCACAATGAGAGACGGATTGCCTTGGGTAGGGGAAAAGTTATATATACCAACAACTCAAAGACTAACTTTCATGCAACTTTGCCATGACACAAAATCAGCAGGGCATTTTGGATTTGTAAAAACTTTACACTTAATTAAACGGCAATTTTGGTGGCCATCAATAAAAAAGGACATAGAAAGTTATGTTGCCAGCTGCCCAACCTGTGCATCAGCAAAGAGGTTGCAAGGGAAATCGCCAGGGCTGTTACAACCAGTGGCAAGTCCCTCAGCCCCCTGGAGGGAAATAGCCATGGATTTTATAGTGGAATTGCCTGAAAGCAATGGGAATACTGTTATCTGGACAGTCACGGACCTATTTTCCAAACAGGTGCACTTTATCCCTTGCCCAAAAATTCCCACTGCAAAGGCCTTAGCAAAACTTTTCATCCAGCACATTTACAGATTGCACGGGGCACCCCAACGCATCATCTCTGATAGGGGAGTGCAATTTACGTCTGCATTTTGGAAGGAATTTTTATCCCTCTTAGGGACCACTCAGGGATTGACATCTAGCCACCACCCTCAAGGAGATGGACAAGCGGAACGGTGCCAGTCGGTACTTGAGCAATATTTGAGATGTTTTTTAAATTTCCAACAGAGTGATTGGACGGACTTACTTCCTTTTGCAGAAGTTGCCTACAATAATGCAGTCCACTCCAGCACAGGCTACACTCCTTTTCAAATAGCCAACGGCCAAAGTTTCAACCCTATGCCAGAGTTAACCCCAAAAGAACCAACGATCCCTTCACTGAAAGAATGGATGGAAAGCCTACAAAACACCTGGCCAAATAGTCAGAAAATCACTAGATGAAGCTAGGCGGGCATACAAAGCACAAGCCGATAAAAAAAGGGTTGAGCCTACACCATTCATTATAGGAGAAATGGTGTACTTATCTACAAAATACCTAAAGTCCCTACAGCCCTGTAAAAAACTTGGACCAAAATATATAGGACCTTTTCCAATTAAAAGAATCATAAATCCAGTAACAGTAGAATTAGAATTACCCAAAAACCTCAGGCAAATACACCCTATTTTTCATTGCAGCTTGCTGAAAAGAGAGCATCAGTCACCTCTACGGCCAAAAATCCCCCCCCCACCACCTCCAATCATGGTGGAGGGGGAACAACACTTCGAAATAAAAGAGATCATTGACTCTAGGAGATATCATGGAACAACTCAGTACCTAGTTGCCTGGAAACACCTCCCTGCCTCACAAAATGAGTGGGTCCATAAACGTCACGTCAGAGATCCGAAGCTATTGAAGAAGTTTCACACAGAGTATCCTAACAAGCCTAACTAAATTCTTTACTTGTGTTTTCTTTCAGGTGGATCTCTCTTATTGTTAAGAGGGGCCGGATGTCAGAATCCAATTATATTTCATCTTTTATTATCAAACATAGAAACTCCCAATTCTGCCTTCTCTGGATTCTGCCATAAGAGGGAGAAAAGGGGGAGAGCAAAGGGGCTTTATGGCCCTCACTTCCTTCAGCACACTTCAAAGGACTGAATGGGTGTTTATTGTGGCCTCTAAGCGTTAACATATCAAAGAAGAGTAATTGCCTTTCATGTAGTTATCTGAAGTCTCCATCCAGACGGAAGAAGAAAGGGGATGGAATTGTGATACTTGAAACTATCACTGGAAGGGGGGTTGATTGGGTGGGACTACTGGGGAACCCCTTAAAACCTTGAATGGGAGAGCTTGAACCCCAAGTCCTGTCTAGCATGCCTGCAACCATTTTCTCTTAATAAAGGATTCCTGTTGGAAGAGCTATTCCAAGAGTTCTGTCTTCTTAAGATGCAAAGTGGGGTGGGTCCTTACAGTTTCCCAAACTTGACAATTTTAAGGCATGTGGACTTCAACTCCCAGAATTCCACAGCCAGCGTTGCTGGCTGTGGAATTCTGGGAGTTGAAGTCCTCATGCCTTAAAATTGTCAAGTTTGGGAAACACTGGTCTATGCCATTGGGGAATTCTGGGAGTAGAAAGTCCAGTACATCTGCACATTAATATTTCCAGGAAACCTGTAATGCCTCTGCAGCTGGAGCATCACAAAAACTATAGGTAGTCATTGACCTATAAGCATTCGTTTAGAACAATAAACCGTAAATAAACAATCAGTGGAATGATATGCCTTCGGAAGTTGTGGGTGCTCCAACACTGGAGGTTTTTAAGAAGCGATTGGACAACCATTTATCCGGAATGATATAGGGTTTCCTGTTTGAGTTGGACTAGAACAGTGGTGGCGAACCTAGGGCACGGGTGCCAGAGGCGGCACTCAGAGCCCTCTCTGTGGGCACGCGCGCCGTCGCTCCACTCCTAGGCCTTCGGGTGGGTTTTATAAAACCTTTTCGCTTTAGGCCTCCGCCACCATGTGCAAAAAAAAAAAAAAGGTTCAGTCAATTTCAACTTCTCGCGGGAAAAAAAAGATTTTGCAAAGTTGGAATTGATTGATTGAACTTTTTAGTCCCACCCAGTCTGCTGTTACCACGCCCACCCAGTCTGCAGCCATGCCCACCCAATGGGCCACACCCACCCAATGGGCCACACCCTCCCGGCACCCGACGATGCATAAGTGGGTTTTGGGTTGCAGTTTGGACACTCAGTCTCTAAAAGGTTTGCCATCACTGGACTAAAAGATCTCCAAGGTTCCTTCCAACTCTACTAGAGTAGAGTAGAGTAGAGTAGAATAGAATAGAATAGAATAGAATAGAATAGAATAGAATAGAATAGAATAGAATAGAATAGAATAGAGATTTGGAATAGAATAGAATAGAATAGAATAGAATAGAATAGAATAGAATAGAATAGAATAGAATAGAATAGAATAACAGAGTTGGAAGGGACCTTGGAGGTCTTCTAGTCCAACCCCCTGCTCAGGCAGGAAACCCTATACCATTTCAGACAAATGGTTGTCCAATTTCTTCTTTAAAACCTCCCGTGTTGGAGCACCCACAACTTCTTGAGGCAAGTAGTTCCAAAAGTCAGCAAATTTCTTCTTAGTTCTAGGTTGTTATTCTGTAGTTCGAAGTTACAACAGCACTGAAAAAAAAGGGATTTATGACAGGTTTTCACACTTAGGACCATTGCAACATCCCCATGGTCATGTGATAGATTTGGGAGCTTGGCAACTGGCATGTACACTTATGAATGTTGCAGTGTCCCATGGGTTATGTGATCACCATTTTGTAACCTTCCCACAAGCAGCGTCAATGGGGGAAACCAGATTCTCCTAACGACTGCATGATTCACTTAACAACTGCAACAATTCACTTACAATTGTGGCAGAAACGGTTGCAAAATGAGGTGTAACTCAATTGCTGCCTCACTTAGCAACAGAAATGTGTGGTTGTAGGTTGAGGTCTACCTGTGTCGTATAGCCTGTTGCAGTTTCATAACTGTAGATTTCAGTTTTGGCACTGAAATTTGGATGCCAGGAACCGCTTCACCCCTTTTAGTGAAGAACAATTCTAGTTGCACCCGGAAAGATCTGGAAGTGAGATTTCATTTTAAAGAGGCCCTTAGTTCCTTCAGTCGGTGACTTTTCTTAGGCTGGTGTGTGGCTTCGCAGCATTATTTAATGGCTATATCTCTTATTTTTATGTCATTTTAATTTATTTATATCCTGCCTTTTTTATAAACAACTCAAGGTGGTAAACATATCTAATACTCCTTCTTCCTCCTGTTCTTCCTCACTACAACCACCCTGTGAGGTAAGTTGGGCTGAGAGAGAATTATTGGCCCAAAGACACCCAGCCAGCTTTCATCTCTAAGGCAGGACTAGAACTCCCGGTCTCCTGGTCATTGGTTCAAGGTCATCCACTGGCTTTCATCTCTAAGGCAGGACTAGAACTCCCAGTCCACCAGAGTCTGTGTCTAGCCTAGTTCTAGATTAGCCCAAAGTCACCCAGCCAATTTTCATGCCCAATGCGAGACTAGAACTCACAGTTTCCCAGTTTCTAGCCCGGTACCTTAACCAATAGACGAAACCATTCTATCTCAGAGAGACTGCTTGTTTTCTAAGAAATGGCTATTTTTAGATTGCATAGTAGATTTGTTTTCTTCGGGTCATGAGGACTAGGATCCCAACGGCCTAATAGTTTCCTCCACGCTCCCCACTGAATTCCTGGAGGTGCAGGAAGCCTCACGGCAGCAGGGAGATATCATAGAACAAAAATAAGTTCTTTTGGAAGATAGAAAACACGCTCCCATAATCTTTAAATAGTCTTCCATGTGTATATCTTTCATTGAGGACAGGAAGGCCTGGAGGAGCATTGTCCACTGGGTTGCGATGGGTCGGACATGACTTCGCAATTAACAACAACAGTCTTTAATTGGGGCTGGGGGGCCTCTTCCACTGGATGGGGGGGCGTGTTTTCATCCTAAAATGATGGTATTCCATTCTCCTGACAG